GCCCGGAGCCTAGGGCCGCTCCAGCAGGCAGCTATGATGATGTCTGTATTATCATCATAGAGAGGCTCGAGAGGCAGTTATCATAAAAGTTCGGAGCCCAGGCTCTGGAGCCAGGCCGAATGGGTTCGAGTCCCAGCTCTACCTTTTAACCTTGGGCAAGTTACTTACCCTATCTGCACCTGTAAGGCAGAAGTGAAAATAAAACCTACGATGATGACAGAACCTGCTTCACAGTAGGTTATGGTTGTGGTCGGGATTTAACGAGCTGAGCGTGGAGTGCCTGGGATACAACTGTCAGCCAGCACAGGTGGGCTATTGTCGCAAGCCCCACGTGACAGGTGAGCAAATGAGGTGGAAGCACTTGCTTACGCTCATGTAGCTCGTGCACTGTCAGGAGCGTGACTCCCAGCCTCATGAACCACTAGGCAACCCCACCTCCCAAGCACATGGGTGTTGATTCATTTGACAGAAACACACTTGAGGCAAAGCTGAATTAGGCAAAAGTATCCAACCTGGTGGAGATTCGGAAGATGTCCTGGAGGAAGTAAAACTTAGTCAAACTCCTACAGGATAAAAGGCGTTGGCAAAAAGAATAGAAGGGAGGGCATTCTAGGCGCCTGGACAAAGATCCAGGCAGGAAGGAGCCCAGGGTGTGCAGGACACTCGCACGAGCACATGAACTTCATCCTCTTGTGCTCATGCTTTTCAAGGTCCTTTCATATCCTTTCCCCTACTTGATCCTCCCGATGACCCAGTGAGGCAAACAAGAAGGGGAGTTGCACCCCCATTTTGCAGACACGTTGCCCAAGGCACAGTGAGAGAGTGATTTCGGCGTAATCAGCAGAGCAAGGATGGATCCCCACACCTTCTCACTGTCCCTCAAGAGGCAGCCTTGTGGGGCAAAGGGCATCTCAGAAACACTGCCACACTCCTGTGAGGTCGAGAGGAGGATTCCAGATGTCTCCACATCTGACATAGAAGGGGAAGCTGGTGTCATTACTCATTCAACATCACATTTACTGAGCACTCCTGTGTGCCAGGCACTGTTCTGTTTGCTGGGCATTCGGCACTGAACAAAATGGGCAAACGTCCCGACCGTCAGGAACCTGACCTTTCTAATGGGGAAGCTGACTTGGATGTCATTGCAAATGTGGTTTGAAGCTGGGGTGGCCAGTCTGATTGTCAACTTGGCTAGGCGATGGTCTGCTAGTCATCCAAACGCTAATCTCAGTGTTGCTGCAAAGGTATTTTGTAGATGTGATTAAAGTCTGTGATCAGTTGGCTTTGAATATGGGAGATTATCCTATATCATCTGGCTGGGCCTCATTCAGTCAGGTGATAGGACATAAGGTTTCCTGGAAAAGAAATCTGCCTAAGGACAGCAACTTCAGCCCATGCCCGAGAATGCCAGCCTACCTTCCAGACAGCCTGCCCTATGAATTTTGAACTTGTCTGGCCAGCCCCACAATCACATAAGCCAGTTCCTTGCATTAATTCTTATTATATATCCTATATAATAAAAGCGTAATATGCAAATCAACCGAACGGCCAAACAGCAGAATGACTATCCGGCATCTAGTTCTGTTCTTCTGATTGATCCAAGACTGATACAGAATCCATTGGAGGATTTACTATATCAGGGGACTACCATGACAATATATATAACTAGAGGCCCAATGCATGAAATTCATGCAAGGGTGCGATGTGATTGGTTTAGGGGCCCGGCCATGGCCCCATGATTGCCCCAGCAGGCTTTGGCGGGTGGGCGGGGCCTCCCTCTGTGAGGGAAGCCGGGTCCCAGGTGCCCAAGGGAAGCCAGCGCCAGCAGCCAGGGGAAGGAAGGCCTATTCTTGCACGAATTTTGTGCATCAGGCCTCTAGTGTTAGAAATAAAACTGATTAATGTTTAACAGGGTAATCCTTATTTAAAGATGTAAATGAAACTCCCCCCGGAGTTATTCTAGAGAGCACTGCTTAAAAATTTTAAATTGTAATCATAAATGACTTTCAAGAAAATTCTCTTTGATCTCAAAAATCAATAAAATAAAATAACATTTTCAATTAATAAAAACATTAAAAAACAGTGGGGTATTGGACATGTTGAATCTGATTCTGTTTAAACCGGGTCCCAGACATGGCCTTCCTGCCCCGCTGTGCAGCATTGACCCAGGTGCCCCCTTGGTAATTGGTGTCAGTCATTCAGCGATGGGAGGAACCCTCTTCCTTGCCTGCTGGCTCCGTGGCGTGAGGAGCCCACATGGCCAGGTGGCAGCCTCACCTTCCAGTTCAGGGGAACTATCGCCGTGTCCTCTGGTGGACGCATTCCTCCCTTGGGCACCAGGACCTCCCAGCCAGCAGCTCAAAGCCGTGGGACTGAGAGGCAAAAATTCTGCATGCGGGCTTAGGTGGAATCGTGACGGGAGCCCTGCCACCCCAGGACACCCAGACCCATGTGTTCGGGTGACAGGGGAGTCAGCCCCTGGAGCAAGTGCCGCATCCTGTGAGGCTGAACCCCGTCCTTTGAGGGTATTGGCAACAGTAACTGAGTCATTCATTGTTTTACCAGGCAAGCTCCTTCTAGGCAGGCGGTTCTCAACCTGTGGGTCGCGACCCCTTTGGGGGTCAAACGACCCTTTCACAGGGGTCGCCTAAGACCATTGGAAAGCACATATATAATCACATATTGTTTTTGTGATTAATCACTATGCTTTAATTATGTTCAATTTATAACAATGAAATTGGGGGTCACCACAACATGAGGAACTGTATTAAAGGGTCGGGGCATTAGGAAGGTTGAGAACCACTGTTCTAGGCGATGGGCTAGGAGGCGAGAGCAGTGAAACACATGGCATGAGCCCACGGCCACACTTCATTCGCTTTGTGATGAGTTCCCTGGTCAAAAGTCACGCTGTGTGCCATACAGTGGAGGAGAAGACAGTGCGGCCCTGGGGCGGGAGCCCTTCACCTCCAAGCTTCCATTTACCCACGGCGGCCGCTTCAGACACGGGTCTCGGAAATGCAGCTGAAGGTAGTAGGGGACCAGCCTGACCAAACGTGGATTTATCCGCATCGGTGTCCAGCCTTCACTGAGAGCCTCCTGTGTTCCCGGGCACTGTGGCCACGGAGGTGAGTCCGTCTGATGGGAGAGGCAGGTCCTTGCTCAGACAGCCACAGGCCTGCGGTGGAGGGATGTGCGGGGACAAGAGGGACTGGTGTTGGGGAAGGGACACATTGGGGCTGGGGCCAGAGGGAGGAGAAACTAGTGACAGGTCTTAACGCACGTCATGTGGAAAGAAAAGGGAATGGCATTCCAGACAGAGGGACCAGCTCATGCAAATAGAGAGACAGAGGCAGAAGTCATCTCACTAGATATTCAACAAACACTTGCAATTCATTCTTCTGCGCTGGGTGATGTGGAGAGCCCTACCTGTGAGGAATGCTTGGTCCGATGGGGACAGAGACTGGAGCCCGGGTGGACACAGCCCTGAGAGAGAACAGGCGTAAACAGGAGGGTGCTCGTGCTGGAAGGTGGAGAAAAAACCTCTGCCCGGAGGGTTGGGGCATTGGGACATCGGGGGTGACTTCATGGAGGATGAAGTGGGTTCTGGGTCCTGAGGGATGAGTAGGAGGTCGCCAGGCTAACAGAGTGGAGAACAGCATTCCAGGCAGAGCGGCCTGCCCATGACAAGGTCTCAGGAAACCTGGTTAAATGGCAGAGAGAGAGAGCAGGACAGAGCAGGGACAGGAAGAGACAGAGCCGCAGGGAGGGACACCAACGAGCATGTATAACCTGTCCTCCTGAGCGGGGTGATGCCAGGGACTCAGTGCTGAGTCAGACCCAACTTGGCGTCCTGGTCTAGAAAGAGACCGTCACAAACCCGGAAACTCAAGGCGGGCAAAGCACGAAGTCCGAGGGCCTAAGGGAGCTCCAAAGAGGAAGGCCAGGGACGGCTGCCGATGGGAATGAACCTCCGAAAAGACAGCGAAATGACAAGTAGGAATCGGCAAAGGAGCAGGAGCAGGGGCAGTCCAGGGCGGAAGGACAGTGTGCACCGAGGCTGGGTCGGTGTGTAAAGTGTGAGAAAGGGAAGATGAGGGTGCAGAGGGTGGCAGGGCCCTGGGGTGAGGATGAAATTTCCTGACTTTTCCCCTGCAGCCAATGGGGGACTAGGGCAGGGCTTAGAGCAGGGCAGAGGCCTGCTCAAAGGATGGTAAGCTCCTCCTGCGGCCAAGCAGGGGACAGACCGGGTGGGGGGGGGCGTGAGATTGGAGGCAGGGAGACCAGCGAGAGGTTGGTGATGGGGTCTCCCGTTCTTGGTCTCCAGGGTCGGGGGCCACTTAGTGTTGAAGGGCTTGTGGGGAGAAAGAGGGACTGAGCACACAGATTGTGGCGGGGGGCTGTGGGTTAGGAGGAGTAGAGTTCCTTGTGAGTGAGGACAGTGGTTTCCTCTGGAAGTTGGGAAAGGGCTTGTGGTCAGGAAGATCCTGCACAAAGGCGTGGTCTGTGTATAACGCGCTAATATTCTCCCTGGCTGTGAGTGTGATGATTTCATGGGGGTTCACTATATAATTATGTGCCCAAAATGTTCCTCGATATTTTATGCGCTTTCTGCATGAATGGTACGTCTCGTACATACAAAAAGAAAAGATGCCAGAGGCAAAGTCAAGGCTAGAGGCCAGGTCTTTGGGCCCCCGTAGTGTGGCTCTTTCATCTTTGGGGCTAGAGGTCAGCTTCCTGGCCACCTGGGTCATCAGTTGGGAGAGGACACCAGAGACCCTGCTGCAAGTGGAGATGCTCCGTACACAGGCAGACCTGCATCGATGTGTACACCTCAGATTTGTGAACGTAACAATGTGTGAGAGTCTACCTCAACAGA